CATGGCCAGGGGGCGGGGCGGGGGCGGAGCAGGGAAGGGCCTGACAACAATGCAAACTTTGATAAGCAGTTCTCGATATTCTCAGCAATTATTTGTTATTATTACAGTTTAACATTATAAAATTAACACAGGATGGTGTAAGTCAGTAAGTCAGGATGGTGTAAGCAGTTCTCTATAATTCTCAGCAATTATTTGTTATTACAGTTTAACATTATAAAATTAACAAAAATAATATAAAACTTATATTCTGGCGAAATAGCCACACGGCAGCCGAAAACCGTATATTCCCTTCCCATTCTCCCGCCCGTTCGTGCATTCTTTCCAAAAATCGGTACTTTTTTAAAACGCCGCGGAACAGGGGACAAATTGTTGAAAAGCGGACTGTCCCGCCCAAAGCGGGAAGTCTGGTCACCCTAGTAATGTGTGGCCCAGGACAACCCTTTTTCCAATGTGTGGCAGAAGAGAAAAAAGGTTGAACGCCCCTGCAAGACTCGGTTTCCTACTCTATAAAACGCTTCTTATCTCCTTCGCTATACTTTGTACTCATGGGGTTGGAATTGGTGAAGCACCCAGCACCTAGCCCATTATTATTAGCAGAAGGCTCTGTGATCAGCCGAAACCCGCGGTATCCAAGTTCCCACCCCACATCCCACGCGATCCAGCGCCGGGGCGGGGTCTGCTCAGCCGGGGGTGGAGCTCCGGGTCTGAGGAGCGCAGCGCAGATCCGCTCCTGGGCCGGAGGCGGAGCCCGCGCTCAGAGGCCGCCTCCATGGCGATGAGGGCGGTCCCTGGGACCGCTGTACGTGGCTTCCCGGTTCTTCGGGCCGGGTTCGCTCGGTGAGGCCACGGCTTGGGTGAGTACGCACGGCCTTGGCTCCGCGGCCGGGGATGAGCCCTTCTCGAGACGCAGACGCCGCGCCTGGGTCCCCGGCCAGGGCCTGCGCGGCCTGCGTCGTGGGGCCGTCCTGTCTCCGCCGGCGCCGGGCGGGTCCTGCGGAGGCCGAGGCTGACCGGAGGGGACCGGAGGCGCCGGCTCAGGTGCAGCGCTGCCTCCGCTGCGGGCCGGGGGAGCGGGCGGAGCCTGGCGCGATGCTGCTGGGTGGGGAAGGACCCAGGGCTCACCCCCAGGGCCCCGCGACACGGTTCTGGGGTCTCACCCAGCGTCTTTGTCCCGGCGGGGTGCGACAACCTGGAGCGGAGAAACCTTCCGCCCGGGAGCCTTCTTTCTCCTGCGTTTCAACTAGGAACTGATCAGCTGCTCCCATCCCGGGCAGACGAGCTCAGACCTTTTGTCCAAAAGGGTTAGTTTCCCGGATAGTGAAGAACTTAGAGACGTCTGTCCTTAGTCGGACGGACTCTCAGTCCATCTAGTGTTTGTTGATCGGTATCTCTGGATGTTCTGTCTTCCTTTAGATTAGGTTTGTTAACTCTTGGTTTGAAGAGGAAAAAAAAAAGCAACAGTAAAAGGTCTAGGGGGATCTGGACCGAGAAAAGGCCCTTGGGCTGGTAGTTTTGGGAGCGTAATTATCGACCGAGAGTGGGCGTGGGCCCGGTTGCAGCGTGTTCCAGTGAGAGGTGAAGATGTGGAGGCGGCGGCGAGGGCACAAGTAGACCCTCCCCAGCCGTCGGAGGATGAAAAGGAGGAGGAAGAGGATGGTAATTTGGGGGTTGAAGAGAGTTTTACATTAATTTTTTTAAAAAGGAAAGAAAAAATACATTGAGGGTGCAAGAAAGTCAAGGAATCTTAGATCAGGAGGAAGGTAATTCGGGGTTCAGGTTGAGAAATTAGGATTCAAAAGAAGACATGGAGGGCTTTCCCTGCTACCTAGGTCAGGAGTGCCGGAATGTGTCTCTTAGGGGAGGAGACAGTGCTTGATTGGATATGGTATAAATTTTTGAAATTTTCTAGAGCAGATTTGGCCTTGATGGGGACTGTCAACCTTATAAAATTGCAAATAATAATAAAAACTGTGTACTTGTGTCCACAGCTTTGATCACATTAAAAACATCTGTGAAAAAGAACTACTGAATAGTTTGACTATATAATCTGAGGGGGGAGTGGGTAGAGAGGGCAATAAACCCAACTGTTATTATATTTTATATGGTGTTTAATAGAATAAGTATTTGGTATTTACTGTAGGCTGAGCTAATAGTAATGTATATTTTTCCAGATATGCATGAAAATGATTTGAGAATCTCTTTGAAGATCTTTTACTCCAAAGCAAGTGAGTGGTGGTTTTCTATTCTTTATAAAATTTTTTTTGTGTTCCAATAAAACTTTATTTTTTTACTCTTTAATTTATTGTTTGGGATTCATTGAGGGTACAAAGAATTAGGTTGTACTGATTGTGTTTGTCAAATTCCCTCTTATAATTGTGTCCCACCCCCAAGAGGTATGCCATACACCATGACCCCCATCCCCCTCTCTTCTTCCCCTCTCCGCACTTGCTCATTCCTCTACCCCCTCCTTGTATAGCTCATCTACTGCCTTCATATTAGAACTGAATACATTGGATTCTTGTTTCTCCTTCTTGTGATGCTTTACTAATATGTTTCACTTCCATCCAGGTTAACACAAAAGACATAAAGTCTCCCATCTTTTTTAGTGGCTGAATAGTATTCCATGATATACATATACCACAGCTTGTTAATCCATTCCTGGGTTGGTGGGCATTTAGGCTGTTTCCACATTTTGGCGATTATAAATTGAGCTATGGGTAAGCAGTTTAGTGCAAATGTCCTTATGAAAAAAGGATTTTTTTTTTTCTTGTGGGTAAATGCCTAGTAATGGGATTGCAGGATCAAATGGGAGGCCCTTTTTGAGTTCTTTGAAGATTCTCCATACTTCCTTCCAAAAAGGTTAGTTTGCAGTCCCACGAGCAGGGTAAAAGTGTTCTCTTCTCTCCACTTTCATGCCAGCATCTGTAGCTTTGAGACTCTGTGATGTGGGCCATTCTCACTGGGGTTAGGTGATATCTCAGGGTAGTTTTGATTTGCATTTCTGTGATGATTAGGGGCGATGAGCATTTTTTCATGTTTGTTAGTCATTCATCTGTCTTTAGAGAAGGTTCTCTTCTTGTCTCTTGCCCAGTGATATATGGGATTGTTGGGTCTTTTTGTGTTGATTGAGTTCTCCATAGATCTTAGTTATCAAGCTTTTGTTCAATTCATGAACTGCAAATACTGTTTCCCATTCTGAAGATTGTCTGTTTGCTTTGGTTGTTATTTCCTTAGCTATACAGAAGCTTTTCAGTTTAAGTCCCATTTGTTTATTTTTTGTTGTTGTTACAATTGCCATGGAAGTCTTCTTCATAAGATCTTTCCCCAGGCTGCTATCTTCAAGTGTTTTTCCCACATTTTCTTTGAGGTTTTTTTATTGTTTCATGCTTTAGGTTTTAAACTTTTATCCATCTTGAATCAATTTTTATAAGTGGTGAGAGGTGCAGGTCTAGTTTCAGTCTTTTATGTGTGGTTATCCAGTTCTCCAAACACCATTTATTGAATAGTGATTCTTTTCCTCAGGGTATGTTCTTGTTTGGTTTATCAAAGATCAGGTGGCTGTGAAATGTTAGTTTCATCTGTTTGGTTCCAAATGTCAACATCTCTGTTTTTGTGACAATACCATTATGTTTTGATCATTATGGCCTAGTAATATAACCTAAACTCTC